TAATGCCGTCTACAAAGCGCGCTGCTGGGTTGCCAGCCTTTCAGTTCGAATTTGATATTGATGATTTCGGAATCCGGACGGGGTCAATTCCCCGTTTTGGTTGTTGCCATCAATCATACCGTCGAGAGTGTCCTTGTTGCGCTGGTGTGCCGCAAAGGCTTTGATAAATTCCTCTCCTACTTTGTTGACGGTACGGTGGTATGCCTCATGGAGCGTCGCAGTGGTGCCATGTAGGAAATTCAGGGCGGCTTGTAGTGGGGCCACTCGTGATTCCTTTTGTGTTGCATCGGATTGGTATGTCTGAAGATTGATCGCGGATGGATCAAAGGCAGTTCGTTTCCTGCTGGGGGAGCCATCATCTTCGCGCTGGTTGTTGTTCCGGTTGGCGCTGGTGTTGCCGCCATTGGAGTTGCGGCGGCCGCGGCCTCTGCCACGACCACCATTGCGAAGGATGGGAACTCTCTCAATTCTTGCCTCAGGCATTGTTGCTAGTGTTACTATTGATATTGTTGTCTGTAACCGTGTTGGTTGGTTGCCTTTTAATAGTGTGGCTACTAAGCTTCCTTGGTTGGTTGGTATGTTCGAAAAATCGCTCGGTTCCGTGGCTCAGAGCGAGAATACGTTATCTTAAAACCAAGGTGTTCAGTCGTGTGTCGCTGGAATTCCGTGGAACGATTGAAGATTCGTTCCGAGTTCCGAGTGACGTACGTAGAGTGACGTACGTAGAGGTGCGTTCGATCAATTCGCACGATTCGATCAATTCGCACGATTCGATTCGATTTGATCAAGAGTGTATCCGGAGCAGGTGTGCTACCTTGGCCTATCTTTTTTCGTTCGCTCGCTCCGTACACGTGTACCTCTTCTTCTTTCCGTACTGTATATCAATGGTTCGAAGATGCTGATGCTTGTTGTTGTTGGGGGTTCGAAGGGGAACCAACTGGAGATACCCTTGATATACTGAGTACTCTTGAGTCAGGTTCAGACCTTCAAATTGTAGTTGCGCCTTCGTTGGTGTTTCGAAGGAGCTGAAATGGCGTTTTGGTTCTGGGACGACAGATCCTTTCTCGACACGAGAATGTGTGTGTAGGTGTGTGTACGTTGAGTGTTGTGTGAGATGTGTGATGTTGTGTGAGATGTGTGTAGACACTACTAAGAGTTAATCTACGACGAATCTACCATTGGATGTTTATCCATGGGGTATACCGTTGCTTGCTGATTTCCAAATTCTGAGCTTAGGAATTTCGCTGTTTGCTTCATCAGTGGAGCAAGCTGGGGATGGCAAAAGATACAAGCCGGGTAGGCTGTGAGAAAAGCAAGGGTACCCTGTTTGTGGTGATTTCGAAAATAGACACATAGGAGCTGGTACGGTATAGACCGAGACCAAGCTAAACTAAACCGTAAATCCAATACCTCGATGGCTGGATGTGTGTGTGTGTGTGTGTGTGTGTGTGTGTGTGTGTGTGTAGGTGTGTGTGTCGCGTACATATGGTGCGGTTTCCCTGGCAAGGTTAAGGCTACAGGCACCACCGAGTACATATGGTGCGATTTTCCTTGTAAGGTTAAGGCTTCCATGTACTGGCACGTACATATATATGGTGCGGTTTCCCTTGCAAGGTTAAGGCTACCAGGTACCGTGCCCTTCCTTGCTTCCTTCCTTTTGAAAAATGCAAGTTGAGGGCACTAGCCTCCGGCTGGCTGTCCTTTTGAGAAAGATCCTTTTGTCAGTCGTGACTTTCAGAATAAGCCATCACAGCCATCCCTTGCCAAAGCACTCAGTCACTCAAGTGACAGTCACTTTGAAAATAATTAAACCATCAAAGCCGCCGAAGGAGACGTTGCCAAAGAAGTCCACAGAATTCTTATTCTCTGCAACCAACCAATCTTTCTCACTCTTTACTTTTTACTGCACATTGCCATCATCCATCAAACCCTTTTGCTGATTTCAACACCTTCCTGTCTATGAGGTTACTTGGCCTGATTATTATTGTCCTTCTCCTCAGAAGCAGCACCAGCTTTAATGTATTATCTCACAGCAAACATATTCACAGAGGGATCAATGGTCGGGTGATTGGGAGGGTTCCATCGGCACTGCGTTTGGCCAATGAAACCGAAGTACCGGTACTGCCATCATCCTCACCCGACACTGGAGAAGTAGGAGAAGCAAGGGATGACGAAGAGGAATTTGAACGTGTCATCAAAGACTCGAAATTCCTGGAACGCAACAAACACTGGGTCGTTCTCATTGACGATGAAGAGGCTATTCGGCTGGCCGTGGGTGACTTCTTGTACGACCAGGGATACCAGATAACGGCATGTGCGGATGCGGATGCCTTTTTGGATGTCTGCTTTCCCAATGATGGTGATGACGGACCAGAAACACTGATCCCTCCAGTTCCAGATGCGATTGTCAGTGATGTCCGAATGCCGGGCAGCAAGGATGGCTTGGAATTGCTCGGCCTGATTCGAGCCGATGAACGCCTTAGCCGTGTTCCTGTCATTTTGTTGACGGCCAAGGGCATGACAGCAGACCGAGTGGCGGGATACCGAGCAGGGGCCAATGTCTATCTACCCAAACCCTTTGATCCTGCTGAACTACTCAGTATACTCGACAATTCCATTCAACGAAGAAAGCAAATGGCCAGCAACCAAAAGGGAGGTCTCATTGACCTCAAGCAGGAAATGTCCAGTATCAAGGAAATTATGAAACGAAACGGGGAACGAGTTGTACAAAAGACAAATGTCTACTTGACACCGGTAGAACGAGAAGTTCTGGATTTGCTATGCAGAGGTTACAACAACAAGGAAATTGCAGAAGAACGAGGGGTGAATGTTATTGGAGTCAATAGAACCATTCAAAAACTTTACAAAGTTAGCGAAACGCAAACCAGGACGGAACTCGTGCGGTGGGCACTCAAAACCGGATACATATCCAAGAGATGATGTCATCATGTATGGCAAGTGGGTGGACAGTCGGTCGAGCGACAGCAATTGTACAAATCACAGAGCAGAGAGGATAAATAACATCCCCGATACCTGTATAAACTGGAGATAGGCTCAAACCTTTTCATGTGGTTTTGCTAGGCAACGGTTTAATCTCGGACAGAAAAATGGTTGGCGAACCTCTTGGCGATGAGCACATCTTTTCTTTCTGTAAAGGAAAACTATGAGCATGACTTGGCCAGCAGCAACGCGCCTACTACTGATAGAAATAATCGCATTGTCTGTATCTTCTTTATGACTTGTTTTATGAAGGCAGGGGTTGTTTCTCTAATTGTAACCCTTGCTCCTGTCTACTTGCTTGTATCTGATGATGGGTCTTTTATGCGGTCTCTTCGCCAAAGCGCTTCACCTAACTTGTTTGTCTGTCTGTTTCACTCGACTGTCACTCTGCTCAACCATTGGTACGGTTGCGGTGCGGTTCTGTAACCTTCAAACTGGCTGCTTGTTTGCTTCCGTCACTGGTCTGTCTTCTTTGCTTGCTTTCTGTCTGTCTCTTACCCCACAATTCTCATGATGAGTTGTCGTACATACCAATCAGGCTGTCGTCCTTTCTTGACCGGTGGATCATCGTGTCGATATCCCTGTTCGTATTCTTCTACAGTCCATCCGCATTCCTTGAGTGCATCTCTATGATGTTCATCATCAATATGATGAATGGTCCGATACTTGATGAGTTCCTTTTTGCGTTCGTTCATGTTGACTTCGTCGTGCGTGAGTACATTCTTCAAAATGGCCTTGTATCGGTGCTCAGTTTGTTCGTGTCGTCGATGGGTCCATTCTTCGGCATCCTGAACGAGTCCATTGAACAACATGATTCGTTGTGCCTTGAGTTTTCGGACAATATCCCAGGACAGTACGGCCTTTAATGCTCGACGCAATTGTGGGCTTCGATGGAGCATATCGACCAATTCTGTGCGTTCCCATGTCAAGAGTCGGGCATCACTTTCTGCCACAATGCGGCAACAGGATTCGATGCTATCGGGCAACATTAATCCGGCATGGAGGCCACTTTCCGAGACAAACATGCCTTCCTCCAGTTTGTACGTGAGCTGTTCGTCTCGTTCGACTCTCAATCCTCCCGATAATACGACCCGTACGTACTTGTTGGGTTGATCCTGTTCTATAACGACCACTCCCTTGGTGAATGTTTCGACGGTTCCCAGTCGAGCGAGTTTGGCAAATTCGACGGGGTCCATGAGTGGAAAGAATTTGTCGCGGGTTTGGTGCAATTCCTGGCTGATTTGTTCGGCGAGGTATCGGTCCCAGAATATCTTTCCAATGCGATAGGAATTAATGGCAATGAATAGCAAATTCCATTTGAATGGCAACCATAGGACTCGTCCGTGTGGATGAAAGTATGTAAAGAACAGCATGGATGTGGATCCAGCCACGGCAATGATACGTAGCATTAAAAAGTCATCGACAGAGTAGGAAATGGCGACCAGAATGAAAGAGGCATGACCAAAGCATTCGGATAATGTGATGGAGTAGTGTCGAGGAGATACCCAGCGAGGCACGGGGACGGTCCGTGGGTGTCCCAAGACATCACTCAGCCATTTGGGGAAATCTCGGCCAGGGTTGTTGTTGCTGTGTTGGGCGGTGGATTGTAGTTTGGTGGCATGGTACGACTTGCCGTTGCTTGCCAGTGTGGCATTGCGTCGTCGTGTGGCTAGTGGAGTCCTTCGACTATGATTGCTGCTGTTGTTGTTGTTGTAGGGTGCACTGGATCGACTGGTCGCATCGCGTGATCGTCCTCGCATTGTCCCCATTCGGCCACTGGTCAGTCTTTGTGACTGTTGCTGTGGTTTGTGGGGAGACTTGACCAATGTCGATATAGATTGTTGTTGGACTGCCTGGACTCGTCGTGTTACACACGAGCTGCATCCTCGAAGGGCCGTTGATTGCATCATCATTCTATCGATAGCAATTGATAAATCGTACACAAATAAATTCACTCCCTGATGGCCTTCAGGTGGGGTAGCTGATTATCTGGGTATATTCAAGCAGAAAGTTAATGAGAAGGCATCATTAGTCAATTAGTCAAGGCCTGCAATCCAGTGGGGCCATCAACAAGGACAAATAAATGCCACCATCGATGGAATCTACAGTAGTATCTCACCTGATCGATTTTCGACACTTTCCGACTCCGACTTGACACGATGATCGGGTCACACAAAACGACAAAAGGCTTCGCTCTCTGGCTGGGTGCACTTTCAACAGTGAAAATCCAACAAATCTAATACTTGGATGGATGGATGGATGGATCAAAAGAGCTCTTGCGGCACCGTACCAATGGTTTGCCGATCTTTGGAATGATGAGTATGATGTATCTCTGTCGCAAGAAATAAATTGGCCAGAGGAATTCAGACGACGATGGATTGGAATGTTGTGAGGGATAGTTCTGCCTCCGGCCAGCAATGACTTCTGCTTCCAGCAGCTGGTCCGGAAGCTGTGACTCACTCACTCAGACACACGCACGATGACTGAACCACAAGCAAAAAAGAAAAAAGCTACACTTACACGTACTTGTCCTGCTTTGTTCTTTCTCTTGTTCATCCATCACACCATGGGCAATTACTCTTGCTGTTGAAGGAATTCTGGCTTTCCGTCATTACCATGCAACGATGAGCTGGTTACAGTCGTTCAGCAAGCTGATGGTGCTGTAGGCTATCTAGAGTCAGGTAACAGTAGCTGGCACAGTATGTTGGCAAGAAGCTTGGTTTCCAGCTACCTGGGTACCACGATCTCCTTTGACAGCTCCCGTTACATGCAATCCAAAGGATGGCCTACTGTAGTTACAAACATGCCTCGCCCCAATGAGGGAGGGTATGGGGACCTAGATTGCACATGAGACAATTACCACTACTTGGTCATACCTGAGTAGCACTATCCCATTGGGAGCTTCCTCAGCGGCCGGCAACCATTGTTTTTCCCTGGACCTAGCTAGCACTAGTTTTTCTTTTCTAGGTATTGTGCCTGGCTCCTCCCTCCCCAATAGCACTCCACGCATAGAGATTGGGATCGGTAGTCGACAAGAAATAATCCAGGCAATCCACTCGGTCTCGTACAGATATCAGAGCTTCCACCCATTGTTGCAATGAGAAACTAGAGGCCTCCTTTTCAGTCTCATCCATCCTCAAGCAGTCTCTCTCGGCTTGATTCAAACGAGGACCATACTGGAGATCGTTCAGAATATCTTCCTCCACTGGAAACTCTTCGAAACTATATGCCTCACCATCTTGATCCTCACAAAAATGGTATCCCCCACGAAATTGGACCACTTGTAGATTGGGGTTGCTACGGATAGCACTCCAGACGGGCTCCCAAAACACCTGTGGGTTGCACGTTACAAACTGCGCAATGGAAACTTTCTTGAGTTTTGACAAACAATGCAAGGAGTCTCCCAAGCATTGCCCATTAGTATCGTCCATCACTGAATGATATTCGAAACCGTCTTCATCCATCTCCCAGTCGGCATTTCCCATTAATATCAGCTCTTGCAATTGTGGAAAGGAACGACCGATTTGACGAAACATGCCTGGAAGATTGCCACCAATGACATTCATGGTCAAATGGGTCAAACTATTGGGAGCCAAGTGTCGAAAGAGTGCTACACATTGAGCGTCGCTGAGATTGTGTGGTTGCTCCACTTCCAGCCTTGTCACATGAGGCAGACATTGCTGAATCGCTTGACAGAACTCACGCCATGTGCTGGTTTCATTGAGTGCTTTCCAAGTGTTGGGTTGTTCGCAAGTCACGTGCAAACGGGATATTGGCGGATGAACAATGGAGAGTAGTTGGGATTGCACTTGAGACACGGTCAATGGCTCCTCATCAGCAGTATCATGGCCTTCCTGCGCATCATCCCAAAAAGAATCGTCGTAGAGGTAGACTGTGTCTTCCGAATCCTCGTAGCGGAAGTAGAAAACTGCTGGCGAGTCGCTGTCGCTGTTTCCGTGGCCATCGTGTGTCGGAACATCGGCACTCTCCTCTCCATCTCCATTCCCTCCAAGCATCCTTGTGCCCTGTGCGCTGGCTATAATCAGATAGCTATAGGTTGCGGCAGGTGGGGAGAACCTTCTCTCTTACCTCCGTCCTCTGCAATGCCAGCTGCCGCCAAAAGCCAAAGGTATCTTTCGCGTCAAGCCAACGGGCTGCTTGAAAGTTGTAGGGGCGAGGAGGCCTCTGCACTTCCTTGTCAATTCGATTCAATGGACAAAAAACTAAACATGTTATCCAACCTTGTCAAAACCGGAGGCAAGTTAACCAACCAAACTGAACATCAATTACAACATGGTCAACACTGGCAACATAAGAGCTTTCCCTCGTGCTGTCAACGGCAATGAGGAAAATGTATCAAAGAAAGCTCACAGAACTTCAGCTACTGCATCAATCCAGCCAGTAAAGGAAAAGAGTATGGAGGACACCCAGGAGATAGCCAGGAATTGTGTCAAGTCGGCTACAGCAGAATGTTTACACAAGTTTTGGCAGGCCTTCTTGTAACTCACTCACATCTCAGAGATGTACCATTGCTGCCTTTTCTGTTCTTAACACCATGCTATGAGCTGTACTACAAGGGTTTATGGCACCCGGTCTTTGTCAAGAAAGTCCTCTCTTCCAAAAGTAAAGTGCACTCGATTGTAGCCAAGCTGCCAGATAGGATCCAAATCCGGAACATGGAATCCTGTGTTGCATTCTGATGTTCCCTGACAACACACAGCGCAGCATTCAGAAGAAGCCAAGTCGCAGACATCACATGATGCCACAATCACAGGCTTGTCCTCAAAGTCTGGATTGGAACAGAACAGCACGTCAAGGTCACCTTGAATAAGCTCATTGGCGTCTAAATACAATAGTCCTGGTGAACAAGCAAGCAAAATGAGTGAGTGGGCAGGTTGTGGAGCAAACCCATTAATGCAATAGCTATGATCAACTGAAACTTACTCAGACTGCTGAGACTTGTAAAAGTGTCTGGGATGACACTGACAAGATTGTTCCTGTTTAGCAGCAGGATGTGCAGCTCTCCCAGGTTTCCTAGGGAATGAGGAATTGTGCCCACAAGGTCATTGTCATCCAGATCCAAGATGACAAGGTCGCTCAAGTCTCCCAGAAAGCTTGGAATGGTTCCAGTCCTCTGTGTGGACTTCAGTGAGAGTTCCTGCAAGCTTGTCAGATCGTCAATCCAGGAAGGAATTGGGTTGGCCACAAAGTCATTCTGAGCCAAAAAGAGATATGTCAAGTTTGTCATGCCAATACTTGAAGGGATCTCTCCAGTCAGTGCGTTCTGGGATAGATCCAGGTGCTTGAGGCCTCCTAGATTGGAGATGGAAGGTGGAATTGGCTGGCTGGAGAAACTGCACTTCTGCAAAGCCAAAAGGGTCAAATTGTTGTTTTCTGGGAACTCAGTTGGCAAGGTATCAAATCCATTGTCGTGCATGTCCAAGACCAGCAACTGAGAAAGTTCAAAGAGGTGGGCTTCAACGGAACCAGTGAAATCATTATCAGATATGTCCAAGTACTGCAGTGTTGTCAAATCTTTCATGAAGTTAGGCCCGAGAGCTCCTGTGAAAAGATTGTTTTCAATGTAGAACTGTTCTAAATCGGTCATTCCAACTCTGACTGATGTATCAAAGGTATCTTGGATACTTCCAGTGAGCAGATTGTTGTCTATTGCCAGTCCAACAAGGCTCTGTGAATCTCCTGCAGTAACTGGCACGGTCCCAGTCAAGTAGTTTGTAGAAAAGTTAATGTTTTTGATGTTTGGAAGGCCTAGAATCCAGGCAGGAAACGTTCCATTAAGGCGGTTGCCCTGAGCAAAAAAGTTGGTCAGATTCGAGAGATTTTGGTATGATTCAGGAATAGGACCAGCAATACGGTTATTGTCCAGGTCAATGACTACTAGGGAGGTAATAAAACCCAGTTCTGCAGGGAGTGATCCACGGGCATTCTGGTTTGCTGTCAAGGTGAGAAAAAACAAAGTAAGATCAACCAAGTATGCAGCAATGCGCCCAATACTCGTAAAATAAATCTCATGCCAATTGTCAACTCACTCAAATACAACGCTGTGGGATTACTGGTTGCATTTCGGCTGCAAACGACTCCTCTTACTTCAGTACTCGAGTCTGCGTATTGTAGAACCGAGTACCAGGAGCAAACTGGGGTAGCTTGCAAGAAATTCAATTCAAAAGACCATTGTCTTGGACCCAAGGTTGCATAATACAAAACTGCGAGGGCATATCGAGTGATGAATTCATAGCCTTCTGTGGTATCCAGGTCGCCATTCGGGACACCCAGGTCGAGCCCGTCATCCACCGCAATAAACTGCAGTGCCATGGATTGGGGAGAAGAAGATACCAGAAAATCTTCTTCATTAGAGACACCCTGGTTGACCAAGTACGTCATGTAGTCATCAACGGTGAATATACTTGCTTCCACAGTGTCGGTTGGATCGGCCGACGGGTCCCATTTGCAGCCCTTGGATACAGAGCAGTGCACTGCATTGTCGAAATCCGCGCAATCGATTGTGCCACCACAAGAAACTTCATAGTCGCATTCGGCACCGGTACATCCTTGAAATTCTTTGGTGCACAAACAAGGAGAGTCGTAGCCAGCAACATTTGCCCTCTCACAGACATTCTCACATGTTCCGGTGGCATGGAGGCATGATTCTTCGTTGCCGCCGACTTCGGTACAGGTGACAGAGCTGAACACAGTTTCACAGGTACCTCCATCGCCAGTACAGGCACCACCAGCAACCAACGGTGTCAAACAAAGGAGCAACAGGGCAGTCAATTTCATGGTCTTCTTTCTCTAATCTGTGGGCGCTCGTCCTTGGTTGGGTTGATCCTTGCTTGAAGACGTTCAGTCGGGGCTCGCTCAAATTTTGAAAGCGCTGGAGCAAAGATCACATTGGGCACTTGCTCTGAGAAGAAATCTTTCTCACAAATTCGATCATTCAACCGAATTCGCCGGCTTGAAATGAGAACCGCTGACGATTGCGACAATGACGACGAAAACCATTCTTTGGTGCTTCCTCCAAACCATGAAGTGACGGGCCAAAGAGACCCAATCTGTGGATCAAACAACAAAACAGTCGGGCACTATTTTATTTCTGGACCATGCGATTCACGGGCGTTCTCCTCTCCTTGCTGCTGGGCTTTTCTAGCACCTTGGGCTTTCAAGTTGGCGGCGGATTATCATCAAGCAGGAACAATGCTGCTTCCACCAAGCTGTTCTCCCTTCAGACATCCCAAGTCGATATCAGTACGGGAGCTCCTCGAAACTATGACGGTCTGATCAACTGGGCCCAATACTATGGATTGAGTACCGAGAATACCTTTCAAGTCACAACGCAATCTGGAGATTGGGGTGCCATTGCCGCGCAACCAGCAGCGGCGGGATCTCGAGTACTGTTTGTTCCTGCCATGTGTCGACTGACATCGGATCGAATTCGCACCGAAGAGTTTGCCGATATGGCACCCTACATTGCCCAATATTTTGACAATGCGGACGGAAACACCAAGGTTGACTTGGCCTGTCACTTTTACCTCTTTTTGAAAGTTTTGCAAGAATATGACCTCGGTGACCAATCGCCCTTCTTTGGTTGGTTGGATGCCCTCCCACGCAAATTCTCCACGGCTGTGACCTTCAGCGACTTTGAAGTGGACTGTTTGCCTCCCTTTGTCAAGTACCTGGCCAACACCGATCGCTACAACTATGGATTGTTCTTGCAAGTCCTGCAACAATTGAATACCCCCACCATTTCGGAGAATACCAAGTACAACATGGAAGTCACCAAATGGGCCTTTAATGTGGTCTTTACCAGAGCCAGAGTCGTCTTTGGTGAGGCGGAGATCATTCCCATGTCCGACATGATCAATCATTCAGCTGATTCCAATATTGATGTGCAGTATGATGGAGAAGGCAACGTCCATGTCACTCTGCTCAGAGACGTCCAAGCAGGAGACCCCTTGCACAAGTGTTACGGTCAACCAACGAACCCGTCTCGTTTTCTTGCTACCTATGGCTTTTTCGATACCACACCACCTGCAACCTACTGCAAATTATTCACTGGATGGGAGGCCACTCCCGAGCTCAAAAACCTCGGCTTTGATTTTGAACGAATGGTCTTTTACGTGGAGAATGGTGCTATTGCCGACGAAGTGTGGGATGTCATGCTCTATATTACCTTGGAAAAGACGGACCCAGCTCAGCAACAGCAGTTCTATCAAGCCCACATGGCAGGAGACGCCCAAGCCAAGGCACAGCTACATCAATACTACTTGCCACAAACTTGCAAAGGACTGTTGGACCACGTCAATGAAATGCTGGAAGAGATTTCAGATTGCGAAGCGACCTTGGACAAGAGCGGCTTGGGATCTGTTCATGAACATTTGCCCATGATTCGAAGGCACAATGATTTCGTTCGTCAAACATTTACAAAGGTCAAGAAGAATCTGGAACAAATGCAAGCTGGTGTGTAGACTCTCTCTACATGTACTATTTGCTAACAATGAAAAATAGAATACAGTAGTACCCTGTCCGGTAGAGTTTTGCGTTTTATTTATTTGCTGAATGCTCTGGTAACGTAGCAAAACATTGGCCGTTGCACGTAGGAAGACTTCAAAAATGCAGAGCTGACTCCGATACAGACGTAAAATATTGGCTGCTGCTGGCTCCAGAAGTACTACAAGGACAACGTGTGGCCGCTGATTCGACTCTCATCGAGGCTCTGAACGGATGATGGAGAGTTCTGAGGCCTCGATGTTAGTGCAAAGAAACAAGTCATCTGCATGAAGTCTACCGTACCGGAACTTGAAAGAGGCTTTGTGGCTGGCTGGAGAAGTGGAAGCAACGTGTGACCTCTGACTACCGGTATCACTCCCTTCTTCGTGTGAGGCTCTGGATGGAGATGCTGATCATGGTTGATCTGTAAGAAACTAAGAGTCTTCACCTATACATACATGCATGTGCATCCAACATGCCACCAAGTCATCTCTAATTTGTGTTCCGGGTCTCTTAGGAGACGAGCTTGCCGTTGTTTTTACTATTTGTGGTTAGGAAAGTGGTACCAAAAGCCCCTAATTGATCCAGTCCCATTTTAAAGTTGTTAGGCTACTCATTATTTTGAATCCACTCGCACCGATGAAGAAAAGAGGTCCACAAGAACTACTTGTACCGGCATCCTTTGTCCTTGATACCGCTATCTTCCATCTCCTCAACAAATTTGTCCAAGACCATGATGAACATCAGCGGATCTCCATCTCGAAGAAGTGTTGTGTCGACAGAAGCCTCGGCTACGCTAAGCCCAGGGCCATTGTTCGGGACACCTGAGAGCTTGGGCGGGGTGGCTGGCGATAGCAGTATTGGGCTGAGCGAAGAGATTGGAGCAAACCATTCCATCACCACCGGAAGTGATAGTCTTCCTAGGTCTGATAAGAGAAGAACTAATAATGGCGCTCGAATGCAGGTATATGAGGATGACTCTGTCATGCTGTGGGCGGAGGACCCCGAAAGTCACTATTTTGAGTACATTCTTCAGCAGGAGCAAGAACAAAGAGCTAAGATGGGAAAGTCCGCCGAAGACAGTCTGATTGGAGAGAGCACCATCGACGAAATCCAGCAACATCAGAGTGGTGGCCAAGAGAGTAGCGAAGCCGGCACTCTGACTCTGGGTGCCAGCAGCTTTCCTATCCTTTCTACTTACAACATCAAGGGCGGTGGTAACTCTTTGTTTGGTGGGTTTTCCTTGGCTAGCACCGAAAAGTCCAAGAAACCGACCAAACGAGAGAACAAGACCGAGGAACCGCCAGTCGCTGTCCTTGTGGATAACTTTTATCCCAGCTTCATCTACGTTGGAGACACTGCATCCAAACCTGGTAACTGCAGTAAGGACTGCTCGCAAGATGTTAGACGATTGCAAAGGGGCCGATGCTTCTACATTATAGTCTTTTTTCTCGGTAGTATTTGCCTTTCAGGATCGGCAGTTGCGGTTTACTTGACACTGACGACAAGGGGAAGAAAAGACACATCATCATCCAGTGTATCGGCGTCGTTCCAAGGCACTGCAGGTACAACAATTCCTCCTGTCAGTCAGTTGAATGATGCCACGTGGCGGCCCTCGACCATCACCATCCCTACCCTGGCTCCGTCTGCACTGCTTCATCGAAAGACACATCAGCCCACTCGTATTGGAGACGCTGGAGACTTGTTCAGCCCAACACAGAGGCCTTACCACGCAGCAACATCCGACGCCACGACAGCACCGACAAATGATCAAACAGCGACAACCGACCTTTCCCTTTCGCCTTCATGGGATGCTTCCAATATTCCAAGCAATCTACCGACAAGATTTCCAACAACGCAACATCCGAGTACAAGACCACCAACCACAATTCAGCCCAGCCTCCGTCCATCCACATTTCAGCCCAGCCTCCGTCCGTCCACGACAACCACACTAAGCTGCGGATGCAACCATTGTTCTTCGGTCTGGGATATGATTTCGGATGAATATACCTGCGGCGATCGTATTGAATTCTTGGTCTTTGAAAGGGGATATTCTGAAACGGGCGCATGTGCTTTGGTTGCTGGCGTTGAATTCCCCTTGATTTGTGGTCCTTGCGATCCCAACACTTGCAATGTGGGAAATTATGTGTATAATGTGGGAAATGTTGTATCAGCAAACGAAGCACCTCCGGATGTCGCCTTGTCCTGGAAAGGAGGTAATGGGTTCCCTGCTGATGTGTTCCCTTTGGGCAGATGCGAAGGTGCGATGACCAGGACGTGTTTGTACCTGCTGGAATTTGTGCATCGAATCTCACGTTTCAAACTTGCTGCATTCTGTCTGGTTTGCCTGTTTGTTTGATCGCAGGAGACTGTGACAGTGATGATGATGTAAGTCTTTCGTAGTGGTGCGTAGATTACCAACTGGCCTTTGAATGTATGTAACTGAATGGTTTAGTTCAATGTGTAGTGTGCTGGAGGTCTCCTCTGCTTTGGCAGACATCCCTTTGAATCGGTGCCTGGCTGTCGTGGCGGAGATGCTGATTATAGCCGAACAGACTACTGCGTTCCAGAGAATCATGCGCTGCAACACACTGAGGTGGGCACCAGCCGCAACTCTGGTGATGATTTCTTCACTGCTCCATAGCCGTTGCTCGATCCTCCTTTGAACAAGTTGTTCAACACACACACACAAAAACACAAGGCTTCAGGACATACCTACTGCCTCTGCTAATCAGTAGCTAAGGGGTTCCGAGCTCCCCGCTAAGTCAAGTATGCATCTTCGACCTCGAACTTATTTGAGCCGTGCCATTGCATTGACGTACACCAAAGATGACAACTGCGCACTTTCGAACTGCATTCCAAATCTAGATGCCAGTTATGGGAATAGGCTGTGGCCCCGGCCTCGAATTTGGGATAACACCTAAATGTATTGTAAATAATCAAATAGTCGGTCCAAAAGGACCTTCAAATGAAAAATATTGAATAGTGTAGATATCCAAACCATTAGAACATGTGGGTGAAGAATGCTGCAACTGCAGCTGGCCAACCAAGGCTTGGGGCAGAATCGAACTGCCACTGTCAGGACCACAACCTGAGGCTCTACCATTAAGCTACCAAGCCAAGTGAAGTGATGCCAGTTGGGGCATACCCACACAAGGAATTGAACCTTGACCTTCTGGCTGAGAACCAGATATCCTAACCATTAGAACATGTGGGTAAAGAATGCTGCAACTGCAGCTGTAGTATACCATGCAGGTACATAGAGACCAAGACTGAGAATCGAACTCAGATCGCCACCATCCTAAGGAGGCATACTTCCATTGTAATATCTCGGCGTCTTGACAAGCAGGACCTCGGTGCCTTCGATGTGGTGGGGCGGAATCGAATCGAACCGCCGCACTCTGCAAGCTTGGCCCCAGGAGTATCCAAACGCGTTGGATATTCCCGGCGTTAAGGCTAGCTGCTCTGCCACTGAGCCACCATCAGATCTCTTCCTTGTTGTTTGCTCTGTTGCTGTGCGTCTTGTGCTTGTTTTCCTTTATAAAGGATGACGAAAGGAGGGTGGGAGATGGGCGTGCTCGAGAAGATGGGTTTTGCATGGGAGTGAAGCACGTCTGAAGTGTGAATACAAACATCGCACACTTACTCTTAAATTGATAAAAGCCCCAACCTTAGTGAATGCGTCTCAAGAATTCATTGGATGAGTGACGTGGCCTTGGCTTCAAGCAAAGACACGAAGACACCATTTCCGTCTCCCTTGTCGCTCGTTAACAAATAACGCAATAGATCGTAGTTCAAGGAGAGCTGGACAACAACAGGACAGTTGTTGACATCTGCCTCGTCCTCTTTGGATTTGTGGAAAGGGGAATCAGACAGCAGGTCCACTGCCCAGCTAGCTAGTTTGATTGCTGCCTGTTGCGTCCTGTCGCATTTGTTGTGTAGTGAACTTTGGAATGCATTTGCCTCCACTGTTGCATTCAGTACAAGAATGAGAAACGAAGCGTTGTTCTGTTTCCTGGTGTTGGCACCGGTCTGTAGCTTTCATCTTTTGGCACCAAAAAGACACTCTTCTGTCTTGGTATCCACGCGACAACATCATGATTCTCCAATGACCAAGCTTGGCTCGAGTCGAACGGACTGGGACACTAGAACTTGGAATCAAGGTCCTGGTAGAGGAAGAGTCTCGTTTTCTTCTTCGACACAATCCACACACAAAAATGACAAGCAGAATCAAGTACGACAACGACGAAAAACCAAACCAATGCCAGTAACGGGATATGATTTCAAAGATATCGAAGAAACATACGACCGTAGACCCCTGCAAGTCGGTTGGAGATTGAACAGCCTGGGATTTCCGCTCTTGGGTAGGTTGCAACTAGTTTGACTTTGCATGCATGTTGGCACTGATTGGTTCCAAGAATTTTGGGGTATTTCACTCACTTCATTCACCTCATCATCTTCCAGGATGGTACATTAGTTTGCTCATGGATAAGGCAACTGGTGCTTCTGAGAATCCAAAAATCCAGAGAATGCGTGGGGAACAGCTGAGAATGCACTTGGTCCGATCCAAGAGCGTCGCTCTCATCAAGGTACGTGGTTGCGTCTCCATGGATGCAGGATGTGCTCGCAGTACGATACTGGTGCAGGTGATGATGGCACTCATTTCATTTCATTCTCTCGTCTGCTGCTTATAGTCTGGTCAGGCATTGAGTCTCCGGCCTGATCTAATCAGGAACAAAATTTGGGCAGAAGAACTAGGAAAACTTGTTGATGCAGTGGGGTCTTTCTCTGATAAAGAGGCCATGCGAATCATGAAGAAGGAACTGGCAGATCTCTATCCTCGTATGGAAGTTACCAAAGCCACATGGCAAGGAAAGGCAAAGAAAACCAATAAGAAAGGCAGGCGGCTGACCAGTGTGGAGAGACTAGTGGAGAAAGATCCAATCTTGAACATGTTTGAGTTTTACAACGACAATCAAGCAGTGGCATCGGCCAGTATTGGTCAGGTTTACAAAGCCAAAATCAGGAGAGGTCCCCAGCTTGAAGCCGCAATTGGAAAGGAGGAAGCAGCCAAATGGGGTGGTAGAACCGTTGCCATTAAAGTGCAACGACCTGACGTGGAAGATTCTGCATCTTTGGATATGTACCTGCTCCGACGAACGGCCATGTGGTTGAGCAAATTTCGAGGCGGTGACCTGCCAGCCATCGCCGATCAATTTGGAATGCAGCTGTTTGGAGAGCTCGATTACATTCGAGAAGCCGATAACTGTGAACGATTCCGTGAGCTTTATGGATCCTGGGGGGACGTAGATGTACCCGCTGCCTGTCGTGCGCTCACTCGGAAACGGGTGCTTGTGATGGAATGGGTCGAAGGCGAAAAGGGACCCTGGCCAGGAAAGGTTGGTCTAGAAATGGTCAGCATTGGACTAAGGTGCTCGGTGGATCAATTGATGTGCACAGGTCTTTTCCATGCGGATCCTCATCGAGGTATGTTTTGACCGCCTGCTTTCTTTGGAAAGTTATGGAGCAACTAAGTGCGTCGTCTCACAACCCATGAATTGTTTTGATTAGGGAACATGTTGATGGCGCCTCAAGGAAAACTCGCTCTCATTGACTTCGGTAGCATGGCTGACATCACAGAAGAAGAACGTTACGGGCTTTTTGGACTTGTCATTGGACTTCAAAACAAGGATCTTCCCCTTGTGACCGAGAACCTGCTGAAGGTACGTTTGCCTTTCAATGGAGGTGCCGCTGATCCAATCCACTGGACTTTTCTGACCGTAACGGCCTCTGCAGCTCGGATTTTTGGAAGACACAACTCAGCTCGACCAACTGATACCCCGTTTAAGAGCGGCTTTGATGAACTCCACTGGTGGAACCGGCAAAGCATCAGATGTCAACTTCGCACAGCTTCAGGCTCAGCTTGACGAAATCAGTCGCGAGAATGTGCTGAGATTCTCAACCCCTCCATTCTTCACTGTCATCATTCGAAGCCTTACCATCCTGGAAGGAGTAGCGCTAAGTGTTGACCCCAACTTTCGTCTGGTTCGTGGGGCATACCCATATGTGCTGCGACAGCTACTATCGCCTGAGGACAACCAGGGAACTCCGGAAGCTCTTACCAAACTCCTCATCAGGTTGTTGACCGTGAATGGTGAAGGTGCGAAACAAGACTCTTGAAAAGTAGTTCGGTTTGGCTTGTCGCTTCTCACCCACTTGCCGTCTTTGTTTTGGGACGATAGAACGAGAGATCGAATGGGAGAGATTGCGCAGCTTTCTAAAGCTAGCTCAAAAGGCTGCCAAGACCTACGACCCGAAAGAACAAGATCCCGATGACGACGGCGTACAAATCTCTCGTAACACAATCGACATGTTTTTCGAATTCTTGACCAGCCGAGCTGGTCTCTTCTTGAAGAAACCGCTAGTTCATGAGTTGGCCGAGGCTATAGACGGTCTTGCTAGCATGGGAGAAGCCAATCTGCTTCGTACCTCTGGCGGCTTGCTGCCCGTTCTCCCGGGCATGAATGGTCCTATCAATACGCGACGCATGGACGAGATCCGAATGATGCTCGAGACGTTTGAAGAAGCCATGGTGCTGCGCAGCAACAATGATGACCAGTTTGGGAATCGAGTTCACAGCGATGGGTCCAACGGCACAGCTGGAGGTGGGCGACTAGCTGTCGCCCAAGGACGTGCTCGACTGGAGGCCATGGTGGAGTTTCTACGAGAGATTTCGGCACATCTCGGTGACGAGCGCTTGCGTCGCAACTCAGGTCCTCTGCTCGAAGAGTTGCAAAGTGTGATCCAAATGGTGGCCGTGGAAGTTCTGGAGATTCGAGGGTCCCGTGCCGTCCGTTCAGTGCTTCGTGTGCAGTAAGTTAGTTCTCGTGAAGACAGACAGACAAACAAAGAGACAACCGGCAATGATCTCAGTAGAAAAATGGGACAGCAGTGCTCTTGGAACAGGGATTGTTGTCACCTGGATCCCCAAAAGAAGCAAAAGCATGACCGACAAACAGCCGCTTTCTGCTTTTCTCCTCCAAAGAGAAGCCACATTTTTGCAAATACATGAACTGATCACACTCCTGATATGACATCAAGCTAGCTACCGACCGACCGGCATCAACACGACAAATACCCCAGCCGGACTCAGGCCCAGGCAGATGACGAACATGAACATACTACCATAGCTACACTGCCTGAAGCCTGACAAGCAGGTCAAGAGTGATCATTTATTCAATAGAGTAAGGGTTCTTTTAGCACCTTCCAATGCAATGATATCCTCTACTGCAATTAACTTCTGCCCCCATCTTTACGCCTTTGTTTTCTTCTTCTTTTTCTTTGCCTGTTTTTTCAGCAGCAAGGCAATCTTTTTCAGCGATTCCCTTTTTCTTTCTTTGGCTAGTTGTTTGGCCAATTTCTTTGTTATCGTAGGTTGCCTAATTGCTTGACTTTGCACGGCAGCACTTCGACTGGTACCCACTGATACGTTCTTCTTGGCTAGTTGTCGGTTTTTCGTTTCCTCCTTTTCTTGTTCTTGCAACACGTCCATGGCCTGATCCATTCTAGATTGGTTGTTCTTGTTCTTCTTCAAGGACTTTGTGGGAGGTCGTTCCATGATACTATCCATCTTCAACATGGATTGAATATGACGCTGTACCACCTCTTCTTGTTGCAATTCGACAAGTGCTTCCTCCTCCTCGTCTTTGAGTCGTTTGCGCTTTTTGGAGGCTTTCTTGTCCTCTCTTTCATTGGCAGCAGCAGGATCATGCCAATCACCAGAACGTTGCATAAACTTTTTCAGCAACTTGGTGCTGTTCTTCGTCTTCAACAGGGAGGACGACATGACGGTTTGGATTCCAAAACAAACAAACACTATACGGTAGGAGAAGCCACAAGCCTTGCTATTGGGGTCGTTATGGGTTGTGGTTGCTGGTTGTGGAAGTGTGCGGGACGTCTTTTGTTCAAGAACCGAGAATGCGATGTTGAAACGGTTGGTGGTTGGTGCTTGTTCGATTTGATCGAATGAATATTCGACTAGACTCCATGTACATCGATGTTGAAAAATGCTAACCCTAACCAACGAAGGATACTGAAGCCGAGAGAAGGACGACCTCGAAGCTTGGGAGGAACGGATCGACAATGGCACAAGATCCTTTTCTCTCACAGCTACCATCATAGCTTTTTGTCTCATCACCAACTCTTTCGTATCCTTCCATCTATCTAGTAGTTACGCAACAGCAGCATCATGGACTTTGCATTTGGACCTGAACCGTGCATGGCGATTGGGCATGACATTTTGGATATCGGCTCTCGCAAGGCACAAGCCAAGAGGCAGCGAGGAGCCTTGGGTGATGCCATGAGCCCGGCTCCACTGGAGTTGGGCATGCCTGGACAGTTCGACCTGCCCAACGTGGAGGATGTAAGTTGAGAGTGGATTTTTGTTGTGATGATGAGCTTGGTTGGGGCATGGCATGCAGTTGTCCTTACTGTATTTGGCTCACCTGTTCATTTGTCTTTGTGTTGTTTTTGTCTTGGCCTCAGCCCGCCCGCTACTGCCGCACAAACTTTGCGTCCGTTTGTGGAACAGGCGATGAGCACCAAGCCGTGAAGTTTGCCAAGGGAACCACGACTTTGGCATTCAAGTTCAATGATGGAATCATCATCAGTGTCGATTCTCGATCCACCATGGGCAACTACATTTCCTCTGGAACGGTCCAAAAGATTATCAAGATCAATCCATTCCTCTTGGGAACCATGGCAGGAGGTGCCGCCGATTGCTCCTTTTGGGAGCGCAACTTGGGAATGGAATGTCGTCTCTACGAACTCCGAAATGGACGACGCATCACCGTGGCGGCCGCCTCCAAATTGCTGGCCAATGTCATGAGCTCCTATCGTGGATATGGACTCTCCATGGGTACCATGGTCACCGGATGGGATGAAACTGGTCCTCAGTTGTACTACGTCGATGATGATGGTACTCGTCTCAAGGGAAGGTACTTCTCCGTGGGATCTGGTTCCATGTATGGTGAGTTCAAATAGAGTTCATCTATCTATTTACAGTCTTGCCAGTGATGTGTGCATTACATTGCCAAATCACTCATGTTCCATCTCGTTTCTGTCTGTCATTTCTCTTTCTAGCCTACGGTGTGTTGGATACTGGATACAAACCAGACCTGACGGTCGATGAAGCCATTGAGTTGGGCACTCGAGCCATTTACCATGCCACTCATCGTGATGCCGCTTCTGGAGGTATCAACAACTTGTACCACATGACCAAGGATGGATGGAAGTTCATTCATGCCGTGGATGTCAATGATTTGCATTACAAGTACGCGGAGGAAAAGAAGAATGCCATGGCAACCTAAATAGCGACACAGCAGCACAACATTCTAGTTCACTTGACCTGTGGAATGGGCAGGAACTTTTTGCAATGCCACGTAATCTTTATCAACAATAAGAAATAGTTGCTGCAATCACAAAATCTTTCCTTTTATGATGCTACAGTCTCCATCTAGGCGTGATAGTGCTGTTGGTTCCACCCAATACTAGTAGATTCGATTCTCATAAATATTTCAATACACTTCAAGACGAAGAACTCGATCTCGGTCTTTAACCATGCAAGCAGCAACAGAGAAACGAGAGCTTCCTAGTAGTAGCCTCCCATCCGAGGACCCAAGAGATCCCCACGGGAGCATTTTTTGAAACCGGGATCGTTGAGGTTAGGTTGGGGAGAGACTGAAGCGATGCCGTTGCCGCAAGGCGCCTTTCCTTGATCATCATCGTGAGGTCGTCCCGATCATGTCACTGTTGCTCGTGATTTTCTTCCTGGATAGATTACATTAATCTATTCAAAAATAAATTACAGTATTAATTGGAAAAGAACTTGCTATCTTCTTCTTCTTCCCAATCATCCTCGTCATAATCTTCATCAAAATCGATACCCCTCACAATACCTGAAGGCACGATATTTTCATTGTAATCGCCAATTCGTTCTCTCTTGTATCCCTGGGCGACTTTATCAATGAGATACATGACATCTGTGGCCGCTGCCACATCTACCTGCACAAATGTCAAACTTGGACAAGCTTTCATGTGGCTCATTCGTTGGGCCAAGGTGTGACGAATGGGTTTGGTGTTGCGTACCAACCAGGCATAGGCTCTTCGTTTGTCGACAATGGCATTGTTGTCAAATGCATCCTCCTCATCATCATCATCGTCGTCTTCCAAAAATTCCTCTTCTTCCTCATCCTCCAATTCCTCCTCATCTTCCAACAAAAATTCCTCTCCTTCCCATTCCATAGTTTCTTTGTTGTTGGATGTGGCCCCTCGAATCGACACAGATATCCTGGCTTGTTTCAAATCCGGTGAAACATCGACACTCACGACACTGATGCGTTGTCGCAATTCATCTTCCAAATATTCGGCATCACCTCGGATAATTCCGGTATGCAAAATCCTTCCCACTTCGAATTGGACCAGATGACCCACGCGTTCTTGTCGTTTGGATCGTTCATTGCGACCAGAGGAACGAGTATAGTGACGAGATGCCAAGCTGGCGTAAAGACAGGTTTTGGATGGTGGTTCTGATGGAACAGTGGTTTTCGTGGGGTATCCTTGGGTAGCCGTACTGACCGGAGCAAAGGCTATGGCAGGTGAAGCCACTGCCACCAAGGCAAAAATCGACCAGAAGAGCTTGACAGTCTCGTGAAGAATCATGTTGTTGGTTTCGTTGTCCTTCTATGTAATACGCCCTCTCCGGGAAATCCAGTTTTGAGTGTTACCTTTCGGAGATCTTGCAATGGACTGATTGCCTTTTCTATGATTGGTTCGGTGGTCGGTGGCGGTGGTTGCTTTCTTTGAAATTTGATGGGCTGACGCCTTTCGGGACTTGGAGTCCTGGTTTAAATCGAATCATTCTTCCTTGGCTTTCATGTTCACTACCGTATCCCTGTTTACACTATCTACTTTTCTACTAGTAGCTAGCTAGTTTTGGCTTATCAATGTTATGGTTCAATCCAGAAAATAATATTGCTATTTTGGTTGGCTCCACAACAGCTTGGGTCTGAAAGCTTATTAGGCGTGGATGGGTGCCCAAGGGATGAACGTACCTCTGGAGGCTGCTTCCAAGAAAAGTGCCATGTGGAAGTGCTCAGTGGGCTTGAGAGAATGGATTCCCAGAAGAGGATGATGATGATTCCCTAAAACTGCTTTGAATGACATAGAAAACACAATAACACAATGTCCTACCTGGTAGCTGGCTAGGTCAAATGCCGATAGCTGTCCTTCTGCCTTGTCTGTTGCCGCAACAGGAGATTGCAGGCAAGTGGAGAAGAAGCTAGAAACTTTGTGAAATAGATTTGATCCTGTATTGTCGTCGGGCGGACTAGCCAGCATTACTTCGGGGAGACTGAAGAACAAACATCAATACTCTAGCTAGCGCTAGCTAGCTCTACCAGTTACCACAACTGTACAAAAACGCTGGAGTTGGTTCCATGCGATATGCCCGAATGACATCGCCGTTATGGGAACGTGTTGCTTGACGGAGTCTTTGCCGCCTCGCCTCGCAGATGGCTGTTGCTAGCTCATTGGTTGGTTAGGGTGAGGGATAACAAGAGCCAGCCTGAATTTTTGCGCTACCGGGATCGCTGAAGACCTTTAATTACCATCTTAGGCCCATGCGTTTTGTTCTGGCGAGGGATCGACTGAGTCGAGATCAGTCACTGGCACCATCCAACCCCATGGGTCTCAACGCCGCGGTCGATGGAGGCAGGAATTTGAAATTCATTCGAATGTAAGTAGCCCCAAGGCACATGCTGAGCTATCGTCGCTCCGAGTAGTTGGCGACGCCGTAATACCAAATAAACTTCATTGTCACCCTTTGGAGTAGATAGGTGCTTGAGTTGCCCCCACCAACAACAACAAGCAAAACCAATCACTTTCTGCTCTTGACCTCGTTGGTGCCCAGATAGGTACCATAGTTAGTCAAGGCCAGTCAGTCAATCAAGACGAAGGAAGGCGTAGGTACGGGAAGTTCTGGATCGTTTCTCGGTCGGTTGTAGGAAACGGTCAATTCAATAACCAGAAGATCCAAATCAACAATAACAAACCACTTGTGGAGTCAGCCGTTTCTTCCCATCGGCGTCAGTCAATAAGCTCCGCTAGGGTATATACCCCCATCCGACTCAACTCACAAAAAGTTGGAGACTACAGTTCTGATCCGATCAAGTCCAAGTCAGGCCCAGACTAGCTTTTTAATCACTCAATTCCACCGCCTGCGACAATGACGACCTCGACGGCGCAACCAATGGATGTGAGCGTTCAGATGACGAATGCTTACTCTCCTCCGGGAGAACGACAGTTCCAGAAACCCGCCATGTCGACCCCGGGAACCACTTGCAGCTCGGAAGCATCAGAACCATCCACAATGGGAAGCAGTTTTGGAGCCTCCAACACCATGACGAACTATTCGAGCTCTAACTCGACAACCACTAGTCCGCAACACATGGGTAGCATCACCAACAACAATACCAACAACACACCTCGGAATAGCGCCAGCAATAATAACTTGACGGGAAACCGAAGATCCATCCGCTTGTCGCTACCCTCCCCATCCCGGCCGCGGCTCGACCCTCAGTATGCGGCTCGGTTGGCCAAGCCCGCCATTCGAAGAATGTCGCCATCCAATGGTCTCATTCCACCGCCGGGAATCACGCGGGATAAAAATGAAGCCATCTTTCGACCAACACCCATTCTTTCCGGTACCACTGCTGATTTCATACCCAACACGAACAGCTATTCCGAGAATACCGGTACTACTGCAAGTCCTATTCAGCGAGGTAGCAGTGCCAAGTACTTTTTCCATCATTCGCCTCCCAATCGATTCTCATCCTCAAGCCAGAACAGTGCCAGCAGTAACTTTGCGGGATACTTGTCCGGAGGGTCGCCCTCGTCGTCCGTCACGTCATCCACCACGAGCAATGCCACCTCCCGATCTTATTCCAGACGGTCTTCTACGGCATCATCGTCGCTGTCGGACATTGGTGCCTCGGATCGATTCATCCCTTCCAGAGCCACTTCCAACTTTGGAGGGGTCAATCTCTGGGAAGGAATCATTGCGGCTCGGCGGTCGTCTGGTAGTGATCACAGTAGCAACGGCAGCAATCCACATTCACATCAGCATCAGCATCATCATCATCACCACCACCACCATCATCATCATCATGCCTCGCATAACAGCAATGCTGGTGGGGGCAATCTCAACGGTGCGGCTCCGGATGATACCAGTGGGGCAGGAGCGGCCGGTCAAATTGCCAACGCGGATGGATCGGATCCTTCTGCTGCAGAAGGTGCTGCCAGTCCGAATGGCCGATCCAGTGATGGAAGTGCTTCGTCACAGCCCAATCTACTCAATGTCCTCCTACGGTCCGAGTTGTTGGGGGAGAACATGAACCCCTTTGCGAGTACGTCATCTTCCTCTCCGGCGCAATCATCATCTCAGCATTACAGCAACATACAGCAACAACAGCAATCATCCCATCCGTTGGAACCTCTTCGAGAAGGCGGCAATCACTTGCACTTTCAAAGTCCACGACAGCTCTACCAGAGCAATGTGCTGGACAATGACACTACACTGTATTCGGGACCCACATCTGTCGTTAATGCATTCTCACTGACACCCGTCCGAAGTGCTGCCAGTCAACGACTCATGGCTGCGCCGCAAAAGCGAAAACGACGCATCTCCAAAGTACCCTTCAAGGTACTGGATGCACCCGCCTTGCAGGATGACTTTTACTTGAATCTTGTTGATTGGTCGTCCCAGAATGTACTGGCGGTTGGATTGGGATCGTGCGTCTATCTATGGAGTGCCTGTACTTCCAAGGTTACCAAGTTGTGCGATTTGGCACAATCCGAAGATATCGTCACGTCGGTTTCCTGGGCGCAACGAGGAACGCATCTGGCAGTGGGGACCAATCGTGGTGAAGTCTTGTTGTGGGATACCATCAAGTGCAAAAAGGTTCGCACCATGGCTGGTCATTCGGCCCGTGTCGGGACCTTGGCTTGGACAGGACCCGTACTGGCTAGTGGAAGTCGAGATCGCTTGATTTACTTGCGAGATGTTCGAGTGCAAGCTTCCTTCACCGACAGATTGGCAGCACACAAGCAAGAAGTCTGTGGACTTCGCTGGTCTTTTGACGAACCGTCCTTTTTGGCGTCGGGAGGGAATGATAATCAGCTGCATGTAGTGGACAGTCGTAATCCGACTCAACCAGTGCAGCGGTTCTCGGATCATACGGCGGCAGTCAAAGCCATTGCGTGGTCTCCTCATCAACACGGTCTCTTGGCTAGCGGTGGTGGTACTGCTGACCGGTGCATTCGCTTTTGGAATACACTGAGTGGCACCAGCCTCAGTTGCGTCGATACGGGAAGTCAGGTCTGCAATCTGGCGTGGTCGCAGAATTGCAACGAGATTGTCAGTACTCATGGATATTCTCTGAATCAAATTGTGGTTTGGAGATATCCTAGCATGAGCAAGGTCGTGACTCTCACGGGTCACACGTACCGAGTGCTGTACTTGGCCATGTCACCAGATGGATCCACCATTGTCACTGGTGCCGGGGATGAAACACTTCGATTCTGGCAAGTGTTTCCAGGACCACGGTCGGATAGCAAGAACAGTTCCGGCGGACTTCTTTTCCCCAACACATTGGGGTCCGTAATTCGCTGAGCGAGCAATGACTCGCCGACGGTACCTCATCTCTGGTGTAGGCAGCTGGCGATTTTAACATCCATCACGAGAAAACAAAAACTATTAAGAAGTTTTACTGACAGCTAGCTCATTAAAGTCAAAATTCTAGTTGCTTTGCTTTCTATATTCCTTTGTAGCTCTGCGACAGTGCGACAATACCCATTGTGCATTGATTAATCTAACGATCTAAGAGATGTAAAGTTTGTATTTCCAAATAAGTGAGCAGTTATTGATTATTTTCTAGAATAAGCCTGCCAATTGTAAAGCTGTAAAGCTGAATTGTAAGCTGTATCCCGTCGCAGACAGCCGAAATCCTGTACCGTATATGTGCCGTTACAACGGCCACACCAGAGAGGCAAAATGCCAATCCACTTTGATCCTGCTACGTGTTGCCAGCCTTCGAACTGATGGCAATGACGAAGCATCCACAGCACAACTCTCTTCAGAACCCACTTGTCAGTTGTCGCGTGAACAACATAGGGCCGCAGTGATGCGACTGGCAAGAGGATACCTTCACAAAGCTAACTTGCCCAATAGATTTGGTTCTGGGCTGTCAGTAGAGCTGCCGAACGATTGAATAAGGTTCCAATAGATGTTGATGTGATCAGGAGACAGTTAGAATCCCTCTCTAGATCCAAGAAGCCTTCAAGTTCTTTGAGTCCACGACCATCTGATCCTTTGTCTCGTGGTCCCAGAAACTTGTCTGCTCCTCGACAGCCTCATCCAACTGAAGTCCAACAGTTGGAAACTGTTGATCCACCAGCTTTGTCAACCATTGGCTCTCATGAATCTGTTGAATCTCTGTGTCAGTCTCTTCAATCCGTCAAGGTACACCGAGAGGATCACAGCCTGTACTGCAGATACAATGCTGCGATTGGCCGTCCCCGTTTAATCGAAACTCTGCGTCAATACCAAGTCGGCCCGTGTTGCTTGGGACTCCTTGAAACCTGGTGGCACAAACAAAAATTGTTCCTGGAATTAGTGGCTTCCACGGTGAGGCTTTCAAAGCTTCCCGTGGAGTTACACAGGAAGAAGAACATCCACCAGCTCACCATCTTCAATGACAGGATTGCAGTAGCAGAAGCAGAAGGAATTGTGGCTGCCTTTCCAGCATTTGTCCTCAACTTCCTTGGCAAACCTGCCTACAAGGCCCTTTGCATTGATCTTGCTGACAATGCCAAAGACCACACCTTCCCACTTGACCCTGAAACAGGCGTGTGGACAGGGGGATGGAAGACACCTGATGAAGAACACTACAATGCCCCAGCCCTCCTAATTGACTTTGAAGACAAGCTTGATATCCCTTTGGAGAAGAGAATGAAGAAAGTCCACATAAAAAATTGTTCCACAACAGACGACTGCTGCTAGTGCTGTGGCCGAAGAAGGTTTCACTGAACATGAGAAGGTGCGACGTTTGATCAAGGCTATTCATGATCCTCCCCTCCAGTCAGCTACTGCTACTGTCCTTGCGACAGAACGACTACGGACTAGTTTCCAAGAGGCAAGCAACTATCTCAAGGAGCAATTGTCTATGATTCAAATCTCGAGTCCACCTACCCGCCAGGTTGCTGACATTACTACTGGTGGCAGAGGTGGTGGCGGTCGAGGGGCCGTGGTCGCGGCAGAGGCAGAGGTCGTGGACGAGGTGGCAGAGGTCACGGTCGTGGTCGTGGGCGTGGAGGCCGTTTGCGTGGTGCTGCGGCATATGATCCGGCAAATCCCACTCAGCTTTTGCTACCACATGTATGGAATGCTCTTGATGACACTACATGCTCTTATTTCGGGCTTCCACGGTGCGGCTTTTGGGGCTTCCCGTGGCGTTACCCAAGGTGGAATTCTATCACCAACGCTGTTCAATATTGCTGTCGATGCTGTCCTTTGAAAGTGGCTTGCCACCGAAGTTGACGACAACTTGTTGAAGAAGAGTTGGTACAACTGAAGATTGGGAGTTCATGGCTACGGAAAGCGGTCCTGCAAGATTTTCATGGACAAGGTTGAGGTGCATTGCAAGTGGCTCCAAGACTTCGAAGCATTCGAAGAAGCAGGTTTTGGCATCCCTGTCACTGATGCCGACGATGGTCTCCTGTCTGCTATGTACACGTACTGATTCCGTACGGTACCAGGTACATTGGTTACAGAACGCTTTGCATGATTCGATTGGCCTTCTTCGTCGCACTATAATAGACTTCACACAAATGTGCAAAAACGCAAGCAACGTTACCCTCCATAGTGGATGCATTGTAGACACTAACAAATAGTCCATCGTCTTCACCAACATTGCCGGCACAAGCAAAGCAGAGGTGCCATTCTTGTTCGCTAGTAGTCATACAGCGTAGCTACCAGGCAGCCAGGCAGCTAGCTAGTAAGAGATGATGCCGCCAATGTGCTAGCTAGCTATCGAGAAAAAGAGAACTCAGCGATCTAAAGTAACACAGAATAGCAATCGTTCGAATTAGCCTTAGCATCGAAGCAATAGGTTTGGATCAGGAGAACAGGTGGTGAGGTTCGTGTGGCTTCTTGCTAGACAAATCGGTTGCCGTATTGTTCTCCTTGATTTGATTCTCGAGAGTCTCGCATCGGAAACGCAGAGCCGTTTCCTTCTGATCTGCCTCCAATTGAACTGTTTCCAGCTTCTGCTGGGCTTCCAAAAGTTGTGCACGGAGACTTTCGAGCTCCCCTGACTGCGCGCTGTTGTCAACATTGTTGTTGGCACTGAGACGCGCAGGCATACCCTCTCCGTGCGAGGCTTGGCCATTCGCCGGGACCAAGCCATTGCGACCATTCGTATATTGCTGCGGAAAGATGATTTGCCGTCGTTGTCGCTGCTGCTCCCGTTCCACGGCAAGCGTATCCAAGGCTGTTTCCAGTTTGGATGAGAGCTTCGCAATCATGTCATCGCGCTGGGCTATGGCGGCGTTCGCTTGACGAAGTCCCTCCGACTCATTGCGAGCCATTCGCTCCTTCAACAGACGGTGCTCTTCTCGTTCCCTCTCGAATTCCTTTACGGCAGTCCTTAGCGGTCCCAATTCGCTGGCCATTTGATCTCGTTCCGCCCTCATGGCTGCTAACTCTTCTTTCAACTCCTTAGCTTCTTCCACGCGTAGGGACGATTGATCGTTCAGGTTGTGGCACAAGTTCGAGAACTTTTCCAGCTTGAGATGCATGTTGTGTTGCCAATGGTTCTGTGGTAATGATGACAAAAAGATGATGTAAAGCGTGAGATGTGGCACGGTTTGGCTAAAACCGACACGTAGAGCACAATAAGTAATAAAAGCCCACGCACCCTTTCTTTCATGAGCTGCTCGACTTGTTTCTTGTGGCGTCCCGTGACTTCCACCAATTGCTCCGAGGACTTTTTGACGACGGCACTGCGTATCTTTTTGCCGGTGTGTTGTTCATCAATGTTGTTGTGGCCGTCAGTATTCGGAGCTCTACTGGCATTCACGGACTCGTCAGGACCCTCATCATCATTCGATGACGATTTGTCTTGGTCTCTTTTCGTTTTTGACCCGCACTTGTGGCACGTGAGCTCTTTTCGAATCGCCATGGTTCTCATGTATTCGAGGCTCTCTTGTGTTCGTTTCAACTCCAGTTGAGCGAGTTGACAACTGGGGCAATTGGAAATCTCCATCGGACTTGCGTCGCTGTTGTCTTTGTCGTTAGAGTTTGTTGTTGTAGCATTCGGACCTTTGTTCGTTTTGATAGTGGCAACCGCTGCTCTGGGTGCATTTGTTGTGTAGAATGGTAGGCGGACTCCTCCCATAACAAACCCTTCATTTGTGGCTGGTTGGGTCAATCTGGTAGGTTCCTTTTCCCCTGATGTTGTAGGATTGCGTGAAGCTAGCGGTTGCAGATACGCAACATTGTTTGCCTTTCGTGGTGCATCTTCGACGTCTGTGAATTGTGGATGTGCATTATTTTTACTGTCATATATAAGTAAACGGTTGTTGTTTTGGAGGGTACTGGTTGCAGAAGTAGCAGTAGTTGCTTGGTGATGTAGATTGTAGTGAGTGTTGTTGTTGTTGTTGTAAGTTGGTGATTGCGATCGATACCGCGAATGATGTTGCTGTGTCTGTGTAGGAAGATGAATGGTGTCTTGTGGTTCATTGCTGCTTTCGGTGCTGTCAATGTAAGGTCGTAGGTAGTGTGGGATTTCGTCTTCTAGGCCATGCTGTGCCTTGTGTGTCTGATGCCGTGCACCGGTCGATGCAGTGGTGGGTCGTTCCCTCAATTCGGAAATGTCTGTCCCAAAGAAATCAGCCACTCCAAAGAGCGCCGAGTTGCTCGAGTCGATGCTTTGTTCTTCGATCGATCGTTGACTGTGATATCGTGGTTTTGCCGAAGAAGCAGCATTGGATCGTAGGACCGTTGTGGCTGTCTCGGTCGGACTGACACTGTGGTTGGAGGATGCATGGGATGAAAGGTCCTCGTCGGGAGGTGGTTCGACCATGGGATGATGGAGTGTGGGCGGTGGTGGATTGGATCGACGATGGCTTCTACGACGAGAACGATTGTGGCGTCCTGCTGCTTGTTGGGAAACCTCCCCCGGTCCTGCATAGTGCGGCCGTTCGACTGAGTAGTGTCGGCCATTGCTGCGGCTGGATCGATGCTTGGCCTTTTCTCGGAGTAAGTCCGAGAAAGAATTGGTTCGGTTGAGTCTCCGTTTGTGTTTGCGACTGTGTTTGCGGATGGCATCATGCTCTGGATTGCCTTGATTGTCAGTTTCTTCTATCGAAGTTATGGAAGCTACTGTTGTGGAAAGGGCCGCTGTTGCGTCTGTCGCACGGGTGACTTCCCCAATACTGTTAAAGCCACTCGAAAATTGCAATTTGTCGGAGCGTTTTTGGGAGGAAGTGGATGAGATTCCTCTCACCCTCGTCTCCCCCGACTTTCGTTCGGAAGCACTTCCTATACTGGAAGAACGATTTCTGGTTGACGTTCCAGAGCGCGTTTCTTTGGCCTGGGGCAACCTGGGAGCGCCGTTGGTACTACCAGAAGGACCAGCAGACGGACCACTGCCTTGTTGCTTGGAGTTCACCTTCACCCAGGCATTGAGCCATTGCTGAATACCCGGCATTCTAGTAGCTCTGTTTGCTCAGGGCTAATAAGGTCCAGTCCTGTTCAATAGTGGTCGTTTGTCTGTCGTTGGGTAGGTTGCTTTGATTGATATAAAATGGGCCGTCACGGCGAGTCCAATACTCATGCTCACAGGTTCATCGTGTCATCTTCCTCTTCACTCACTCCTTATTTTGATTTTGATGGTTCTGGTTGCTGTCAAGAGAGAAGTGGGAATGATTAGTTTTCAACCTCGTAATGATGGTCGATAGAGCAACGGTTCGGGCCAGAAAAGAACCCGTTGACGTGCGATTGTGGTGATTGTTAACCCTGGTGCTCTCCTCGTCTGTGCCTTGACTTTCACTGCAAATGTTCTGTTTCTTACAGGACTTCTGCTGGAAGTGCCAACAGTTACTACTGCCAACTACCGTGCAGTGCTCTCCAAGAAAAGCTTACTTTTGATTACTCCTCTTCTTCTTCTGCTTCTGCTGATTGCGTGGAAGCAAATGGGCGGTGGCTGATGAAGCCAGACCCATCAACAGGCAACAGGCCATTGGTGGCCTGGAGGTGCCTCGTGGCAAGTTGTCGCAACGGTGTCCAAAGATTATTTTTCAGAACCTACTCACATAATGAGAAGTGCACCACCATCTGTTCTTTCACCGATTTCAACATTTGAAGAGGTCAAATAAATGAAACATGAAGACGCGTCACTCGACTGTTACTCGACTTGACTCGACTCGTCACTCACACTTGCAACAAGGTTGGTTTCCACGCCGTGGAATGGTGGCCACCCCGCCCAGAAATAAGTGCTCGGGAGCACAACTTGTCTTGTGAGCACGGGATGTCATGGTTCTGGTACCTTTTTACTGTACTGTAATAGCATTCAGGTGACTTCTCAGGCGCTCAGGCCAAGAGCTCCAAGCCAGTAACGCGATACTTCCAATCATTAATACCATGGGAAAACTCTGATTGCTTTGAGCGCCACTCTATAGAAGAAACAAAGGGAGCACTTACTTGTACGAGCTCAGTTTCCTGGCTCTTTTTCTCGCTTCGGACACAACATTGGTCAGCAGAACTCATTTTCCATGCTGTACTAGTACGACGTATCACGTACATGTGCCCTTCGCTGCACCACAAGGCACAAGGCACACTACCGTACCGGTACGGTACGATACACACGTGTATCGAATTCATTGGATCTATTCGCTAATACCGGTAACGGTACCGGTACGATACCGGTTGCATGTCATCTTGTCAGATCAGACCGGTCGTAGAAATAGTGAAGTGTGTGGCTTCATTGAGTGTAGATTGATGACGTTGTGTCACATTTGGGCATCAAATCGGCTCTGCGGGCTTCCCTAGTTCGTTAGTGTGTCCGGGGCGACGCAGATTCGATTCTCATCCATTCACCGTTGTTCCACTTCGTGGTATCTTGAGAGGTACCGTTGGAACCTCGGTGAAAAAGGAAGACGAACCATGGGAAAGCACGACGAAAGCCAGGAAGCCAAATGGGCTGAGAAGAAGGCCAAGAAAGCTGAGAAGAAAGAGCAGAAACGTGCTGCAAAGGAAGCCAGGAAACGGAGAAAACAACTGAGAAAGGAGCTTCGACAACAGAAGCGAGAACAAGAACGAGAGGCCCGCAGACAAGAAAAGCATTACAGCCAGTACGAACCGGAAGAAGATGATATTTCTCCCAGGCAAAATAGACGAGAAAGAAATTTATCGACCCCCAAACGCTTGGTCTTGCCAGATTCGCCAGAGAAGATGGCCAAAGCCAGCAGCGATGTGTTCTTCAAGAATCCATTGAAGTAATTGTGTCTTTGCTACCGTCTGCCATGGGGATACCAAGATTCAGTGCGAGCTATGCTTCTGAGACATAATTTGAATGTGGGCATATTGCTTACCTTTTGTAATCTCAAGGTTCTGTCCAACAACAGTGGCAACGGGAAGATGCTAGACGAGCTACCCTACCTAACTAAACGACAAGGTGGGATTTGATTCTTTGGTTTTTTCTCCTAGCGTGGGATGCAAGGTACGTTCTACTGAAACTTCGTTGGATGATATACTTGCTTATCCAATCTGCCACAAGTGTGTCTGATGTTTTGCTTGCTTTGCTTGTTGTCATCTTGTTTCGCTACCAAGTTGCAAGGAATGGTCTCTGGCTCGTTCCCATCTCACTTGGGTATCCTCGTGATTGGCAATGTGAACGCCATGATTCCCGCGCTGTGTATGCAGGATGATGACTATAACTTCAATACGGAAACGATGCAGTGGTCGCAAGAAGATGGATCCGACGCTTTGGTCATGGACGACAAGATGGGAGTTTATTGAAAGCCAGGGAGCCCTGTCCATTGAAGGATCCACGCCAACTGTGTTTGTCCCTCGAGTATCACCACCACCATGATGCGATGGCTTCTTTTCTTTCTACAACTTCATTTGTATACGTAACTGTGCTTACTATCTCGTTATAAATAAAAATGCATCATCTACGGTTTCAGCCATTGTGTTTTTGTTGTTGTTGTTGTTGTCGTCGTCTTTTGAACCCAACAGCCAGCCGCACAGTAGTAGAACTGCAAAATTCTCCTCGTCGTGCACTCTCGTCGTCTTGCATATAATATTATGAATATAATATTTCTTAGCTCTTTTTGATGGATACAATGACATCATCATGGACCCCCTTCAACAGCATCTGTCCTTTGAATTCAATGATACCACGTTTCTTGGCACATTTCAAGGTCCCAACCAGAGCTTCGTAGTAGTTGGCGACGGCATCGTCATCAAAGAGAGCACCAAATTTGACTTCATCTCCACCACCTATCCTTCGAATATCAACCACAAGTTGTTCCAATTCTTCATTGATGCGGATCTGCCGTTGTCAGAAATCAGAAAAGATATAATCGAGGAAAAAATCCAAAAACAGTTAGAACAGGATAAGGCTTCAATGTGCAGCACCAGAACGACAGAACTATACTACTACGGTAGCATACGGTACCCACCTCTTGCTCATTGACCACATCGGCTGATTTGCTCTGATTGATCCCAGAATCGGCTGTCGGTGAGGTTGGCATGGTGATGGTCCTGAGTTTTGGATAATAAAGGGGGTGTCGCGAAAGTTGGATTTTCTCGCAAGATGTCGGATTGAAAGGATCCTTGGGTAGCTTTTTGCTGCTGGTCGTCAGCTGCAGATAGATGAAAGTGAGATATGAGGAGCTGTAAAGCGAGTTGTGGCTTGTCAGCAGTCAAGATAAAGACAACACCTACGCTTTGGCTTCATACACGGCATGCAAGCATCAATCTTATTACGTTGTTGTTGCATGGTTGGTTGCACGAAGTTCCCAAGGAAGGTCATTGAATTGATTGTGGCGATCTCGATGACCATAAATTTGGGTTGAAAGACAGACCAAAGTATTAATTCTCTGAGCCGTGTTTGAGATTTAAGCTCCGTTTCAGGGCCACTCAAAATCTGGATCCATCCATGATCCGTGCCAAAACAAAGAACAACAACAACAACTTTCTAGCTAGCTAGCCGATCTCTTTGAAGTTCTCTTTCATGGTTCAGCTATCACAGCCAACAGCCCAGCTTGGACTTGTCGCTCCAGTACTAGTACTGGACATTAGGAAACCACAGCCATGTCGGCTCCTCCCCCTCCGCCGCCACCACCACCACCTCCTCCCCATGCCGCATATGCTACCCAACCAGCCCCTTACAATTATGCCATGAACTACGGCCATCAACCCCCGGCGTACAATTACAGCAATCGACCCAACCATCCTCCACCACGACCACCTCCTCCTCCAGCTTATGCCTACAATTCCAATTTCTCTCGTCAACCAGCATATCCGGGGAGAGGCTACGCCATGCCAACTCAACAACCCATGTACCACAATCCCGCCCTATATCCTTCCAACCCAATCTATCCACCACCGCCGCCACCACCACCAGCCAATAACATGCATCCACGCAAACGCAAGCGAAATGAGCACGATAATAATCACCACAATACCAATATGCACAACAAAAAGCAGCAAACCTATTCTTGCGACACCTGTCAAGTATCGGCAGACACTCCCCAAGCACTCCAAGCGCACTTGGAAAGCCACATTACCTGCCAAAAATGCGACTTTCAAGGCGCCCCCAAGATCGTCAAGGCACATTTTCAAAGTGTGCATGGAAAGTACAGCAGTGGGGGCTTTAAAACGGTGACGGTGGCCGTTCCAGGATGCAGAGTCCAACGATTTCGCATTTGTGTCGGAAATCGAGCCGAGGATGTGCAACAGTGGATTGCCGAACGCAAAAAACGATTTCCCAGGAAACAGCAGCAGCAATCTCAACCACAATCACAAAAAGATAAAGACAGTACTACAACAAAAGATCAAAAGGAAGAAAAGGCATCGGGGGTTTCGGACTTGTTGGATGGATATGGGTCTTCTTCTTCCGAAGATAATGATGAGAATGACAATAATAATGCAGGCCAAGCAAAGAAGCTGGAATCAACAACTACAACCGTCAATTCAGGGGAGCCAGCCATCAACAAAAATGATATCGACAAAGGCAATCCATCAAATGAAGTGAACAATAATGTACAAGAGGAAAAGAAGGAGGACATTGCCGCTGCTGAAAAGCCAAATGGATATCGAACCAAAATTTGCCGATACTTTGCCAGGTTTGGAAAATGCCGCAATGGAGATGCCTGCACGTTCCTCCACGAACGACCAAACAGCGCCAATTCTTCTTCTTCCAAGAAACATCAGCAGCAGCAACAGCAACAACAACGGCAGTCCACCAAAGAACCACCCAAGAGCCTGTTACGGTCCCTACTTGCTAGAGATATTCAACGGGAGACTGCCCTGACATTGCAGCTTCTTCGGTACATTGTGGATCAGAATTTCTTTCAAGAGGAAGCCACAAACAAAAATGACGACAAGACAACAGAGTAGGCCTAGCTAGATTTACCGGTAGAGCCGTACGATCTACCGGTACCAGACAATTGACGGCCATGGAAAAACTGGCCCGACCTTGGTCGTCCGCTGCAGTGGATGGACTCTGTTGGCATCTTGCTTTGCATGGCAAGGCAATGCCCACAGCTTGGGTACCGTACAACCAGGCAGCACTTGCACCGCCATTTCAGTTTTCATCATTGGCTACAGATCCAATTTGCGGTTTTCGACGTGCAATTTGGTCTGTCCCCCGCCAGTGCAAAACTCCGTCTGACCTTTTCACCTTGCGCACGGCGACCTCCACTTGTCAATATTTTGCCGTTACAGCAACACTCCCTCCGAACTCTTTCCACACACACCCAAAACCAGCATAAAGACAAAAACACCCAACGGGACGAAAGACCAAACAAAGGACGTTCCAAGCATGCTGATCTTACCCCACTGCTACGGCAAAGTGTTATCCTTGTCCCATGGGTTCCTTCGTTTTATCTCCTACTATTTGTTTCTGCAAGCTACTACAGAGGATGGAGCAGGTCCAGAACAAGCCGACCAAGGACGATTCGATTCGAGCCATGAAACCCAGTCTCCCCTGATCGACCTGAGCGTATCAGGGACTCTCTTTACCATTCGAAGGGATTTGTTGGCGGAGAACAAAGGAATCCTGTCCAACATTGACGAGCCAGACAAAGGCCCCCATGGGATCCATCACGAAGGACGATACTTCATGGACGCAGATCCCATTGCGTTTCGTTGGATTCTACACTATCTAAGATATCAATCCCTTCCGTCTCCCATTGCCCAGTCCCTTACTGAACTGGAGTGTATCCAGCAACTGGCCGGCTGTTTGTGCTTCGAACCTTGTTAACTTATTAATTACACTTTCCCCGAAGGGATTATGTTCTACGTTTAGATTTGAAAACGGTATATGCAAGCCTCTTGCTAGGGCTTGCCTTTAACCGTTTGTGGGTATAGAAAAGGATATATGAGA